AGTAACTCAGAAAATATACTGGGGATTCTTTTGTCATTTTTAAAACAAGTACATTCAGAAAAAAACTTATGAGCATCAGAAAACTTGTATGATTGGTATGATTTAAATGGATAAATCAAAGAACAAAATGAAAGAGGAAATTTGAAAATATTATTGCTTTCACCAAAATCAACCTGATCAAAATCCATGCCATGGAGTGTAGTAGAAGTGTTAAAATATCAGAACCTAATGAGTCTGAAAAGCCTTAGGTCCAGCAAAGTCTTCTGATAACAGCTTTGTAGTTTGGGGACGAAAGAAGAAGAATTTAAGAATTTGGTAGCCAGCTGAATTGTCATTAATATTTGAAATCATTTGGAAGAAAATATTCAACCTGTAAAGGCTCTGTTGACATACTTTTGTATTAAAAAATACAAACATCAAAGATAAGCTTGGAGATCATTGATTCTTAAGTTTATTTGGAATTCCTTAGGCAGATAAAGAAATCTCTGCATATCTGTTCAAATATATAAAATTTTTCCCTAGGATAAAATTAATTTAAAAGGATGGAAAATTAATCACTTTGATTTCCTTCAACAAATAAGTTTTTAAAAATTATGGACCATGAAATAAATTTTTAAAGATATAAACAAAACCTCTAGTGATGAAAAATTTGGTATTATAGCAATGCTTCACATCAATCATAAAAACCAGGATTACATCTCAACCAATCTACTGCTTTTAAATGTTTGCAAAATCTATCAGGGGTTGAGGTGGACGGTCTTAAGACCTCAGGATATAATGTTTAAACATGCATACATGCACGCATATAAACACATAAAGCACCAGAAAATATATTAATCTTTACTAGGTAAATGCTTTGGCATTGTCATTTGGGTGGTGGCCTTCTACCTAGGAAATCTTTGGATATGAAAGGAATGACCCTTTACTGTTTTAGGCTGGTGGCACAGAACACAGGCATAGCCTTTATGCTACCCAGAAAGGGTATGATTTATCATGTGTTAAATTAAATATTGTACAAAATATTCAATGTAAAAACAGTATTTAAATATCCACAGTTAAGACAGCATCATGAATTTAATAGAAACATCATCAAGTATTTTATTATGGATCTATGGGTTAAGAGTAAATAAAATAAAGATGAAAATAATAAATAACAAATTATGGGTATGGGTTACACAAAAACTGAACTCTAACTAGAGGATCTGTGCTCATAGAAAAGCCTGAATTAGCACTGTGGCAGAACTTTGAGAGATTATATAAATGAAATAATTAATACAAATTAAATATGTTATATGCACATAGTTTTTAATGATTTCCCACTTAAATAAATCAGATAAATTACAAAACTACTATCCTCAAATAAGAAATGAGGACATTAATAATAATCTTCCATCTTGAAAATTCACAAAGGTAATTTTAGGTTAACTTTAATTTTCTTTCTTGAATGAGTTGTATTATGTTTATTTTAAAATTAAATTTCTGAACTTTAAAAATGCCACACAGGCTAGCAAGGGCACATTCCTATGGTGGTATGTTAATTCAAAGAAGGCTATAGAATTTTATCTATAGATCATTCAAGTATCTTTGCCAAATAATATCAGAAATTTACTATCACAACTTTTATTTAAAAATAAAAACTGAATGTTCAGTTTCCTTTGGGAGTCTACTATGTGAAAGTGATCCTATCACTACCATCTTTGAAAATGGGTCTCAATTCATGTATCCCAGACTGCAACATCCAAAGAATAGTGTTATCCCTGAAAGCTATAGTTATAGAAAATTCATGTAGTCCCAGTGTTTTTCTGGTAATCATTATTATCAGTTTCTTCCTTCATTAGCTATCTGGCTAGCTCTCCTAACTTTTCCTATTTTATGAATATCATTAAAATATTTTTGGTAATATACTTTCAGTTACCTATTTTTTGATGTACTGCTAAACTGGCATTCTGGAGACAAGCAAGCAAACAAACAAAATACAAACAAAAAAGGCTGAATTTATAATAGCTTTCTATTTTAAAAGCATAAGTACTTCCATCATGACAAATTAAAGATACCAATGATATGTCAATAATTTGAAGTTGGGAAGAAATGTATACAACACATTTTAATGAGCTGAATCAAGATGCCTGAGGCACAATACTGAAGAATAAATACCACATCCAGTTTGTTTATTTTCATAGTTTATCAAAATATCCAAGAACATTTTTGGTAGTTTCCAAAATGTTTGGCTTAAAAAGATGATGGTGAATCATTTTTAGCATAATTAAAGATTTTAACTAACAACAAGCAAAAGCTAAACCATGAAATGACAGAAAAATGCTTTTTTCCAAATGAGAATTTTATTTAGAATAAAAATAAAAGGTTATATCTAATTTATTATAAACAGTGCTCACTGTAAATAATATCACTATAAATAATACCACCAGAAGCTCACAAGCTCTACACAAATATACACACTCATACACAAAAATGTATATCCAAAGAGTAGTGTTAGCCCCGTGTGTGTGTGTTAGAGATTTTGAAATATTTGATGACTACATTTATGATTCATTATTGAAAATTATCATTATATATTTTGAAAATTCAGCTGAAATACTGTACTGCACAGAAATGATGTAATAATATTTTTGACCATTGGTTACTTCTATAGAGTTATTACATTAAAGCCTTGTAGTATAATGTAAAAGAAGACAACACCAAGCAAGAGGGTTGGAAAACTTTATTGTGAAGGGCCAAAAAAGTAAATATTTTAGACACTGAAAATCATGCAGTCTCTGTCATGAATGCTGTCCTAGTACTGTAGCAGGAAATCACCCAGGTTACACATGTGAATTAATGATCCTGCCTGTGTTTTAACAGACATTCTTCACAAAAACAGGTGGTAGATGGATTTGACTTGTGACCTGTCTGTAGTTTGATGACCTGACTTATACTTGTACTGAATCATTTTTTGAATCTTCGTAGCTCTGCTTTCAATATAATTTTTCTTTTATTCATGAAACATTATTAGAGTGAACCAAACTGTTTTTTTTAAAAATAAAATTTCCCCAGTTAGGAAAACTGTTGGCTTATTAGTGTCTTTTATACAACTCAATCCTGTAGCTAACCAACTGCCAAAAGGACAATGCAATTGAAAATAAAATGAATATGTTTGTGGACATAATTTCTTTTGTATTGCCATACCATTATTTCATAGTTTACCATAAAGACAGAGCCTTACCACACAGTAATAAAAGAGAAAATCTTCATATTAAACTAAAAGGTATTTAATATGAGTACATTCATTTTTCTTTGTTTTGAAATCTCTTATTCTTACCTTCCATAAGTTTCCCTGTCTGTTCTGCACCTCCCCCAGGAAGAATTTTGGCAATATAGGCTCCAATTTCTCCACCATGTCCAGGGATTTCTTTACCACCTACAATTCTGATTCCTAGTCCATTACCTGTATTGAAGAATTAGCAAATTAGTAATAATTCAAGAAGAGACTATATTTATCATAGTTTTAGAGAAGACAAAAAGTGGATCTGGCACCAGAAAGCTAAATATAACATCAGCAATAAAAGTACTTTATGCTGACTTCAATTTCATATACTAACACATTGCCAGTTTTTAACCAGATATATTATAAAAATTTTACAAAAGGATATTCTCAGTGTAAGAAAATCTTGAGTATTCACCTATGAAACTTAGGAGCATCTTACAGAAAATCAGTAATGGCTGTCATAAATTGAGCAGAGGATGTGAACATACATAGGACTTCAGCTGATAATGTGAAAACATGATTATAACCTATGAATTATTTGTCACTTTTCAATCTTCACTCATCAATTTATATTGCTTGTGGCATAATAACATTGATCTTGATTGATGACCCACTTAGTAAATTGTTTCTTACCCAAGACAGGTTTATCTATAATTAGCTAAATGGAAAGATGATCAATAATAATGAGAAACCTAATTGAGATAGGTAAAAACTGTTAATATTTTAAATTTATGTGTTTTTTTTCCTAAATCAGCTAAAAACTCGTGAGAGGACATAGTACCAAATGCATTTTCATTGTAAATGCTAAAAATATTTTACCATAAAGCATTAAAGGAAAGCAGAATTCTTCATCTTTAATAGAATGCACAATAAACTACTTAAATTGAAATTCGCTGAAATTCATTCATTGATTGAAGTACTATTTTCAAATTCTTTCAGATTGTCTTTCAAAATCTCCAAATCTTAAAAGCTCTTGCTTTAAAATTTTGTTCCTTTTCTACTTTATTCTTAAAAAAAAAAAAACCAATGCTATAGGAAGCATCTATACATTTTAAACACTCAGCCACCACTAACACTGAATTATGTAACCTTCCTGTCACTTGAAAAACAAGGATATATTCTGGTAAAATATTTCTTCCCAGTTGTGATGATTCCAAATAATTCCTTTCCTCCTTTCCTCTCTCTTTCTTTCTCTCTTCCTTCCTCTCTCCTTTTCTACCTATCCTCATTTCCTACACTTTATTTCCTGTTTCTTAACCAATATAGGTATTCAGAAGATTTAGAACTCCATGACCAATGTGATTCTGCAACCTGTGCACTCAGAAAAATGAGAAATTACATCCCATTTGATTCAAATGTATGATATGTCAAGGTCATTGTACTGTCATGTGTAACTAATTAAAACAAATAAAAAAAAATAAAAACGAAAACAAGTTGACTATGTTTCTAAATGCCCTGTATTAGAGTTCACAGTTAAACAGGATACTAGCTCTCCTTACCCCATCTGTGGAGATTTTCTGCTACATGTTTCTTGGTCTAGCATTACTGTTGTTAGCATAAATTATTTATAATGTAAATTTAACACAACTGTATGAATGTGTTTTATTAAGTGATTTACTCCTCCGCTAAGTTTGGGTAAAGACAGATGCGTTCTTAGATATTAGAGTTTAAGGAATCACCAGGACTGAATCTATAATATCACATTTGATGTGTGTGAAGAATTTAGCCAGGATTCACTCAATTAGTTAGGTCTAATTTTTTTCAATGTACTAAGGAAATTTTAGAAATTATAAAATGAGTATTTTTAAATTACTGGCTATAACAAAAGGTTATTCCTTTATTTATCTTTAGGAATAAAAGTATGTTCACAACTAACACTTTGCTTTCCATGGTGGAATCACTCACAAACTGTAATCCATTATTTGTTCAAGATTGCATAACACTTCACTTGGATATTAAATTTCTACTATAGTTAGCATATCAATATCAATATTTGGTCAGTCTAAGAACTCAAAGGTGATTTACAAGATTTATTTTTAGCTTATAGGGATATGTTTAAGATCACACTGTTAAAATTTCTCAAAAAATATACTTTTATGTAGATTATGGCAGAGGAAGGAGCTCAGGGCACTGGCTTTGCATCTATCTTTTAAACCTAAAATTTAGAATGCAAAGGTAGCATGCAAAAATAGTTTTAGCACTATATGATGTGTGGTACAACCATATGCTAAAAAGTCTCAAATAGATCTAAGATCATCACACCCTTTTAAAGGTATAGCTAAAAGATTAGTTGTGAAATTTCAAAATCTATAATTAGTATAAGTGACTATTCTACAATTTGGTTATAGCCTCATTTTGAAGATAACAGTGACCTGAGGTTAAGTCATTGGGTCCTTACAGCTATTTGCTTTTTAGTGACTGAACACACTCTAGAACCCTGTGGTAGGATCAGTGATAGGAAACCAAAACTATATCCATCTTGATAAACTAGAATAGAGAATAATTATTTCTGAGTTATGGTGAAATAAAACCTCATAGTGAAATCAAGTATTCAAAATATTATAAAATGTACTTTATGGAATTCAGGGTGGATGGTATAATGGAATAAAACATTATCATGAGAATACTGTGAAAAATAAGATTATATACATGGAAAGTACTTCAGGTGCATAATCAATTTTCAAAAATTACTGTTAACTCTTATTGATATTCCTGCAGTTTTTAATATAAAAAATAAAGTTGCATAAAATATTAAAAATTTGCACAAGAACAGCATGGGAAATAATAAAAAGACCCAAGGAAGATAATATTTTGGTAGTTTTACAGTAGCTTCTTGTACAACTTGGATATTATAAAAATAATAAATATGAGATTTAAAATTCGGATTTTATATTTCTATAGCTGCATTTTGATATTTTATCTATTAAACATAGACAAAATATTTTCATAAAATTTAATACCACTCTTCAAATCTAGAAAGCAGAATGTCAACCTAAGTTTCAGTAAATTCAAGAAGCAACATTAATTTTGATCTGAAATGGTCCTTGGCAACTAATATTTCTTTAACCAATTTTTGTCAGCAAAATCTCCTTTGCATCTTTTGCTTCTGTTACAATTAGAAACATTGATAAAATGTCTCCTCAGATGCCATGAAATGCATTGGTTCTTGTTCTGACTTCACAGTATGGTATAGTAGAGAACATAGTTCTTTAATAAAGAAAACCAGAAGATAATGCAATTTCACAATATATAAGTCTAGCTGTGGTAAAGGAAGTCTTATGGGGTAATTTCAATTCAGAAAATATTTAAAGCATGTTGGGAATATAATATTTGTAGGGCAGAAAAGTCCAATGATAAAAGTACCAAAACATGAAGAAAAAATATTACTTCTAACTTTAGAATTACAATTACTAGTTATTTGTTTTTTAATTGGTCCATTATAATTATAAATAATAATGAGATTCATTATAGCACACTCATATATGCACATGATTTGATCAATCTCATTCCATAGTGCCTTTCTTTTTCTTTCCCTCCTTTCTTCTCCTCAATCTGCTTATTTTACTCTATTAATCTCCCATTATTATAATTATTATTTTAATTAGTACACTATGATTATATACATAAGGAGGATTCACTGCAGTATATTTATACATGGACATAGAACAATTTGGTAAATTTAATTTCCTAGTACTTCTCAAAGCCCTCTCCTCTTTCCTCCCTCTCAGTCCCCTTTCTGTACCCTATCAGTCTCCCTCCTTTTTTTTTTTTTAAGATCCCTTTTTATTTGTTTTTTTCTCTCCAGTTTCCATACATGAGAGAAAATATTTGACCCTTGGCTTTCTTAGTCTGGTTTATTTCACTTAGCATGATATTCTCCAGTTCCATCTATTTACCAGAAAATGACATAATTTCATTTTTCTTTATGGTTGAGAAAAACTCCATTGTGTATATATGCGATATTTTCTTTATCCATGTGACAGCTGATGGACTCCTACATTGAGTCCATAACTTGGCTACTGTGAATTGTGGTGCTGTAAGCATTGGTATGCAGATATTACTATACAATGCTGATTTTAGTTCTTTTGGATAAATACCATGGAACATTAGACTTTTTAAAAATGTTTATTTTTTAGTTGTAGTTGAACACAATACCTTTATTTTATTTATTTTTGTGTGGTGCTGAGGATCGAACCCAGGGCCTTGCATGTGTTAGTTGAGCACTCTACTGATGAGCTACAACCCCAGCCCACAGACTTTTAAAATCTCTATTTGTAAGTACTTGATGAATATAATATGGTATTAGGTGAGTGAACTCACTTTTTATGAAAAAAACAAATATGAGCATATTTAAGGAAACTCTTTTAATTTCCATTTAAGTTTTTATTTAAAAATCTAATTTTATGTTTAGTGATATGTTACATAAAAAGATTTGTTTTTTATTGTATCAAAAAGAATGTTTCTATTTTCATCATTAAAATTATTTATGAAAATATTATTAAGTCATAATTAGAGCATTAAACTTTGACATAAAGTACTTATTTCATTTAAAAACTATTATATGATACATCTAAGTCTCAAGGAGAAGTGAAATTTACACAAGTAAATATACTATATCATATAGAATAGTGGTAGGTAAATAAAATATAATTCATAATAAAGTTATCATAAAATGAAAATAAACTGCATATATTCTTTAGTTGGAAGAAAGTGATAACACACTTGCTGTACAAATATTAATGTGGATGAAATACCAAAGATAGTGGAAAAGTGTTCAAAGGATGGTTCAGTTAAACATATGTTTGTTTAGTTTAAATGTTAATTATACTCTTAAGGTTATGAAAGCTTATTTTCATATTCCTTCACCTACAAATTTCTATTACAAATTATCAATGTAATATTTAGGAAAATTAACCAAATTATATGAAACATGCATAGTAATTTCCCCTTGTGTCCAATAGAATGCTATAATTTGTTCATCAACACTGGAATACAGAGAACTAAGAAATATTTCACTATTTTTCCTTTTTTTCCCCCCAGTAATGTTTTGCTCACTGCAGGAAAACCTTTTCTACAGACACAACAGTATTGATCACCTTAACAACAACCCAAACTTGACAGTTTTCAGGAGTATTAAAATGGAAACACACGAGTGCCAAGCCAAGATATTTCCTCTTAGT